AAATAGCACCTTCTGACAGAGGATCACAGTCTGTGGTTTCCGTAGGCAGTACACATACCTTCCCAAAACTCCACTCACACACACACACAGGTATATATATGTGTCCTGCAAGAGAAATAACGTACAGAAAGTCACTGTACTCAAAATGGACAAGTCTGTTCAAACCCAGAAGCCTCGCACGTTTGACTGTTAAATTATTTTTCATCGCCAGATTGCAAAATGCTGAGCACAAAAGCAGTGCTTTTGCATTCTAAGTCAACACTTTCCCCAGGCTGTTCCCTATCCACTCCATCTGTGTGCCATCGGACGCACCTCCACGTGTGGTTCAGTGTAAAAGGCACTTCCACTTAGACAAGTAATAAAAATGGCAGAAAGGAAAAAACCCTTATTTAAACCCCTTTGCTTTTTTTCTTGGCATATTTTTACTAGCTTGGTTGTCTTGTCAGGTTTTAACAAAGTCATTTGCTGCTTTTAAATATCGTATAAATCGTGCAGGTCTCCACTTCCCTGCCTTGTTCCCACGGACCTTGGTGCAGGCAGGGAGAGGCAAGGTGGGATGTGCAGGGCGGTGATAACACCTTTGCTCTGATGTTCTGGCACATCTGGGAGAAGCCAGGGAGGACAGTCAAGGAGGGGATCCTGAGGATGACCCAGCCCCAGCCATCTTCCCTGATTCCCATGGGAGAGGGGTCTCACCTGCCCTACATCCCCAAAGGGGCACTGAGGTCCCCAAACCCTGCGCTGCGGGAAGCGGGCTGTCCCCAGCCCAGCACTGGGACCCCAGTCAAGGACACCCCTCTTTCACCACCTCGTTCCCCTTGATCAAACCCGCGTGCCCCAGCCCTGTTTGGCTCCTCAAGTTGCAGCTCCCACGGAAGCTGTGCGAGCGGAGCCGGGCGGATTGGTCCGCCCCCCGCCGGCCTCGCTGCTCCCAGCGGCTTCCCAGGCGTTGGGTTACTGCCCGCTGCAGCGCCGGCAGCCTCGGCCGCTGCAATAAACAGGTTCCCTTGCAGAGCTGACACCCCTGCAGAAACTGCAGAAAATGTTTAATGGTAAGGTGTGTCTCTCCCTCCTAGCATGAGGGGTTTGGTTTCACTGGAAATCATAATAAGAAAAAAAATAAGTTACTTCTACTGTTTGACACTAAATCTAATCATTTTCTGTGTCTACAGGGAACGCAAGTTTAGGCACAACTGCTTCTAAAAGATGAATATGCCGTTAGGAAAAAAAAAAAAAAAAGATTCATACATTAGATTTTCTGCGCTGAGAGCACAAAAAAATTCCTGCCTCCCATGTCATGCGCTCACACAAATTGGCAGAGGTTGTAAAGCTCACCTGCAAACCCCCGCTTCCTAATTCTGTTTGGGTTTTACAAGCTGTCAGTCAGTTGGAAAGCATTAGTTTTATTTGCTTCTTTCAAATTGGTTTTCTTTTTAACGGGAAGAAAGCATTTATATTAATGGAATCCCTGAGCCCTGAAAGGGAAGGCTGAAATGCAATCCCTGAATTTTATACCAGGACATGCGGGAGCTCTTCTCCGTGTTCAGACGAGCACGAGCACCGGCAACTTTCAGCCCGTTCTGCCTCTCAGAGCAAAGCACAAAGGCAGAGGGGGAAATTTGCATTTCTTCCTTTCTTAAATTCAGCCATCCCCTGGGAATTCCCGGGGTGAGAGGAACAACAGTGCCCGTTATTTGCTGGGAGGGAAATGATGAAAAAAAGACCTATGAAATACATGTTCGATTACTACAGTTTCTAGACGGTGGTTTTATAACAGCATCATTATCCTAAAATCAACTACATTTCTGTCTTTCTGTTCTTATTTCCTTCTTGTTTTTTTAGGAAATAAGAGTCTTTTTTAGTCTTTTGTAGGAAAATATGATTTATACTTGAATATCCAAAATGTTTTGATGCAAAACACCCAGATTTGGTGAGAGCATTTCCAGATCATAGAGCAAGAGGACAGAAATCACAGAATTCTTGAAAACACAAACTCTTGCTTTCTCTTTGGGTGAAGTTTTGTACCCTGCTTTAAAAAATCCCCCAATTTTCTAATTACTCCACAAGTTCCATTTTCCTCATGATGTACCTGTGGGCTAGCAGCAACAGTTGTCTCTTTATTACTCAGTTCTGGAGGAGGAAAAAAAAGCAGCTCCAGACTCTTGCTGCTGAGCCCAGCTCTGGGCTCAGACCCAAATGAGACAAAATTTTGCCTCGGCTGCAGGAGACACAGCTTCACCCATCTGGAAAATGCCCTGGGAGCAGAGACACGAGCAAATTTGCACAGGTGACCCTTGGGTCCAAACTGGTTTGGTGTTTTTACTCCAAAAGCCCCACAGTGTCACTCAGCAGGGTTTCTCCCTTCCCTGCCGTAGCTCTTGGATTGGATCTCCTGAAAAAAAGAGTGAGTTTCTCTGTTGGGTGGATACTGCAGCACCAAGGCAGTGTACATGTACCCATTTTGCTTTGGGCAGGCTTCTGATACCTCCCCGAGAGCAGAAACTGGACATGTTTCTCCTCCTCAGATGCGATACGTGTGTAACGAGGGGAAAAAGCTGTAAAGATGCTTATGCAGTGCTGCTGGTTAACAAGGATTTTGCAAATCTGCATCTTTCTGCAAATATTGTCAATACCTGCCAGCTTCCAGAGGCGTCAGTGTCCCACCGCATCGAGCAAAGGCCCAGAGCGGCCAGGAAGGAAGGAGCAACGGCCGAGTGTTATGGCACACACGTCCCCCCACCGCTGCAAAACAGCGAGGGTGATTGTAGCCAGAGAACGGAGACAACGACATGTCACCCTGCTCCGGCAGTGGCGGTGTGTCCTTTAGACGAGGCAAGGAATAAAAGCCTGGACTTGCCAGGTGCCACCGCCTGACCTCTGGTGAGTCCCCGGGACAATACGTGCCGTGCCGGGCGCTGGCAGCCCCCGGGGACAGCACAGCTCTTCCCATGGGGTCCCCTGCAAAGTGGGGACGACGTGTGCCAGAGCATCGCCCACGGGGCCGAGACCAGAGGCAGCTGCACCCCCGTCCCTGGCGCTGCCCCATGCCAAAGCGTGCTGCCAGTCTCAAATTCACACGCTCTCAAAGATGCTCGATGCACGGAAGAGCCCGGTACAATTATTCCCAGACTTCCCGGGGCAGTGAGAGGCTCAAAGCCCATGTGCTTGAAAAAGCATCTCCCATCTGATTCTTGAATCAGAGACTTCAGCAAAGCCCTTCTCTCTGCTCTGAGGAGCAGGACCACAGACATTTATGTATGAAGAGATGCGTGTGCACGTGCCTCACGTGTGTATGCACACACACATGGGATGTGTACGTCCAGTTAAGCTTAATTCCTCAGGAGTTTTTTCTTTCCTTTCTGATTTCTCTTTGAAATATTCCACTATCTGACTTTTAGTGTTTCATGTGCACAACTTTCTGCTCGCAGACAGACAACATCAGACTCTGCTGTTTTCGATCACTTTATCAGCACAGATTTCTGCTTACGCCTTTGCGAGGAACGCTGAAAAATAACCACGACCCATCACAAACAGCCCGACCGCGATCGAAGCCTGTGCGTGCACGGAGCAGCGCTGCTCGCATCTCCCAAGGGCTGCCCGCCTCCAAAACTGACATTTTTATGCTTCTGCTTATGAAAGCATTTTGGTGTTGGTGGGTTTGCTCCTGTATTTAAAGGGAAGAATGTGTTTCAACACTTTGTCGAGTCATGGCATCGAGTTTTGAGGGCTTTTCCTTTTAGTTTCAGGTGTTGTATTTAGCTACGCTGGTGCTTTTGATGCGAATTTAGCAAAAGACTATTTAAAGTTTAGCTGACAAATTTATTTGCAATCTTGAAGTATTTGATCATCAGAGAGAAAGTGAGAATATAAATAAAAGACACTGGACATTCACATAATCTACAGTTAATTCAATGATTTTTTTTTTACAGAGAACAATATACATGTTGTCTTGCCTTTCCTCGCGCTCAGCTCGCACGATAGTTGTGGAAATACACAAAGCCTGGAACAGAGAAGTGTCCCCAGGAAAGCGTGTGCTCGCTCCGACACGCTGCCAGCAGTGCCTGGAGAATGGCTCGAAATAAACCAGCTGAAACCCCCTGCTGAGAGATCCCCCCCTCCCCCCCGAAGGTATTTGGCAACAAGACGTCAGGGTGGTTTTTGAGACACTTTGCAGTAAAACTGTTGCAAAGGAATTTGAAAGAAAAGTGTAAGATTCACAACTCAGAGCCGCTACTGTTCCTGGGTCAAGAAAAATCACCGCTTGACCTCGTGATAGAAGTGTCATTATTTGGTAATAAATACACCTATTCGTGGTTTAATGCTCATATGGAAGAATAAAACTAGCAATCTACAAATTAAAAAGATGAGAAGCAGAATTAACATACGATTTTCATTTTACAAAGGAAAAGGGTTGTTGATAAACGATTGGCATATCAAAGAGCATTTCATCGTAGAAAAGTTAAAGTAAATTCAAAATAAACCAAAACATACCGCATCGGTGCGCTTTTTAAAAAATCTGCTGGAAGAACAGAGAAGTTTTCTACCATGGATTTCTGAAGTGATTCACTATTAACATTTCTCCTATAGAAATATAGACATTGACACACCTTTCACCGTGGACGAGGACTTTATTTTCTCTTAAAAAGTTTTCGGTGTGGATGGGCGATGAAGCAAGTCCTCGCTTTGGAGAATGCACTGACAGCAGAAAGAGAAACACCTTATATCAAATCTGTAAAGCACTAGTCTTGGTGCTTAATAAAGACACAAGAATCAGTTTCGTTTGGACACTCCGTATGCTGATCACCGCGGTGCCACTGCCTTTGCCCACCGTCCTCTGCGACCCGCTGCTGGGTCGCCCTCCGAAAGCCCGTCCGCTCTCTCCGTGCCGTCACGCTCTCCCGCCCCGCTCAGCAGTCGCCGTTTGTTCTTCCTTCGTTTCCGAGAGTAGATGACGTTGAGCAGCACCGAGTCCTTTCCCTTCCCACTGCACGGTGGTGGACCCTGTATCAAAATTGAGCGTGGTCGACTTCATCCAGCCAAGAGGCCGGGCTGGCGGGGAAATCCGGGTATCCCCCACTGCTGCCGGTGGAGAGGTCGGAGCTGGGTCCGTTCCCAGCCAGGACCCTCATGGACTGGGGCACCCCTTGTCCGCTTTGTCCCATGATGCCTAAACCGTTGTCTGGGTAAACCAAGCTGGAGATTAAAGGCTGGTGGCCGGGCAGTGCTTGCAAGGAGGCTGGTGACTGGGGTATCCCGTAAGGGCTGTTGGATCGCAGGTCGTGGTACTGGTCCTGAGCTGGGATGCTGCTGTGATCCAGAGCGAAGCTCCCGTTGGTCCCAGCCTGTCTCCCCAGAGCAGGGGACGCTTCATTGAGATTGCTGTAAATCCCATTGGAATGGCTCATTTCAGACATAGAGGGCTCATCTGAAAGGGAAATGGACTGGTTTTACTGGGAGAGCAACAGCTGTGGCTGGCAGCGGTCGCACGGGAGCTCCTGCACGCTCTGGGTATAAATAGATTAGACGGATGGGAGCTGAGCAGTCACACACTTGCCACTTGTAATTCCTTATTATTCCTGTCCTTGTTGATGGGTCTTCATAGAAGGCCATGGGATTATTTTTATTTTTTTTAGTACAAACATCTAATACATTTTGGATTTTAAAAATATGCACCAGAAACAGATATTAAAATATAAGACTATGATTTAAAAATAATCCTTTAAAGGGCAATGTGAGTTCAATGTCTTTCCACCTTTTGTTCTGCATTTCTCCTTGGTTTTGAGGTTTATCTTGAATTTTGATATAATTTTTAGGAGCTACCTGAACACTCACCAATGCAAGAAAAACTTTCCATTACTCAGAAAAAAAAAAAAAGTTAAATCTTGGCAGTATTTGTCTGCTCAGGAACAGGCTAATGAAATGTACCTGAACAACTTAAAAACACTTCTGGAAAATGGGTGATATTTTTTAATTTACTGATAAAAATTGTTTGCATTCATTAGGGGCTTTACAAACAGCAGGAGCTGTTGCCTGGGACACAAACCTGTTTGTGGCATCAAGCTATCAACAATTGTTCAAGATTTTTTAGTTATTATTTATAGTATATTCATATTTAATGACGCTGCTGCACAGTGTGCATAAACAGGCTGGAAAATGAAATTCTTTTTAGGAACACGGGAGAGGAGCTGAAATGCAAAGCCGTGTGTGTATAAACATACACACATTGTAGACGTGTCTGTGCAAATATGGACACAGAGTTTTGCATTTCAGCTTCTCTCCTGTGTTCCTAGAAACGACACACTCACACAGAGGCACATTCGGACATTGCAGTAGCTCAGACCAGGTCAGGTCGACAGAGCCCCCTGGGCAGCTCTGGGCTGGGACTGGGGCCGCACAGAATGAACCCCCGGCCAGCGCTGCAGGCACCAGCCCCCCCGCACCCACACAGGGCCCTATCCTGCTCCTGCAGCAGGTGCCCTGGGTCTGGAGAACACGGGCTGAGGCTACACAGGTCAAGAGCAAGAGTAGGTATATCCCTGGGTCTGTCAACAGAAATCTTGGCTCCAAAAATGGGACCCTCCGACGCAGAATCCTCCTGACACGCAGCATCTCCCCTTTACAGCGCGGTGGAGGGGTAACAACTCCCACGGAACTGGGAAGGGAGTCCTGACTAGTAACTACACAAATAAATCCACCTCTAAATAGGATGACAACAAACTCTACATACTTTTCCCCACAGAAACGTTCAGTGATTCCGCACTCCCTGTTTCTTGTTTTTCCAAGAAGCCCTTGGAAAGGCTGAACACGAGCAGCGGCTCTGACAGCCGGCCCGGGGAGCTCTCCCTGCTCTCCCTGCATCTTTTCGGACCCGACGCAGCCCCCCCGGAGGACGAGCGCGCGTCCCCCCGCCCGGGCGGCGCCCCCCTGCCGCGGCTCCGGCTCCCCCCGCCCCGCAGCCCTGCCAGGGCCGGGCGAACGGGGCCGCACCCGGTAAATCCCGCAGCTCTGCACCCCTCCTGCCTCGGGCACTTGTTTTCACTCATGGTGTTATGGCTGAAAATTATGAAGGCAGCA